ATTATCTATTCTTTGTTGTCAGAGGCTGTTCTGCCCATTCTAGTTTGCTTAGCAGCATCCTCAGTGCCTTGGGTCATATGACAATAGCATCCTTTAGTTGTGACAACCAAAAATATATCCAGACATTGCTGAATGTCCCCTGGGTCGATGGAGATGGCAGAATCACTCTTGGCCGAGAACCACTGTTGAAGAGAGGATTAGGGAACAATGAAATGCAGGGAGTTTGGGAGGAAGGTCTATGTGGGTAGGGTGGAACTGGGGAGCAAAACCAAACACTTTTTTGGCTCATTTTATTTTTGCCTTTATTCTGGCTTTTGTCATTCTTTGTAATTTGAAACAGTTCGAGTTCTCTGGGAATGCTATGTCTGTTTTCAGCTTCTGTGGATACTTGTGCATTTTTCTTGGGATGGCACAGGTTGGGGGTAAGGAGTCAATATCTGGAGAGAATTAATGCCTCCCATGGCACAGAGAGACTTGGAAACTACTGAGATCAATTGTCTTTTTTTCCAAATTGTTTCTTTAATCTTCATTTTCCTGTTTCCTACCCCTCATTGTGAGTGATGCTAGGCCTTGATCAGTCTTTGGTAAGGACAATGGTCTGAATCAAGTCCAAGTTCTTCACGCCCCTTTAAGCACTGTAATTTGTCAAAGGAAAAAGGGAGAAATGGTATTCCAGGAAGTGAGTAGAGTGTAGGGTAGCAGGTAGCAAATGAGCTGGCAGATATAGGTAGTGATTAGACTGTATTCTTGCAAAGAATTAGAAGTTAATCCTTTAAACAAAATGACACTGGTAGTATTACATAATATAAACAGATCTTGGTACATGTCTGCTACTGTTTTAAGTGTCTTTAATGAATTAAATCATTTAATCCTCACAACCTCATGAGTAGGAACTATTTTTATTCCTGTGTTAAGAGATGAGAAAATGCCTAGAAGGATCAAAACAACTTGCTTAAGAAGTAGAGCTGGCCAGGCGTAGTGGCTCATGCCTGTAATCCTAGCACTTTGGGAGGCCAAGGTGAGAGGATTGTTTAAGCCCAGGAGTTTGAGACCAGCCTGGGCAATATAGTGAGACCGCGTCCCTACAAAAATTTATCTGGGCTTGGTAGTGCAGGCCCATAGTCCCAGCTATTTGGGAGACTGAGACAGGAGGATCACTTGAGGCCAGGAGGATCACTTGAGGCCAGGAGTTCAAGGCTATCATGCAGGCTGGAGCGCAGTGGTGCACTCATAACTCACTGCAGCCTTGAGTGTTGGGATTGCAGAAGTGACACACTGCGGCTGGCCTGTTAGTACTTTAACTATCTTCTTATGTTGAAAGACAGTTTGGTTGGGAAATTAATTGTAGGTTGCTATTTATTTTCTCAGAACATTCTGAAGATACATTTCTTGGTAGATTGTCGCCACTGAATTACCTATCAGTGGCAACAATCTACCAAGAAATGTATCTTCAGATTGTCTTTTGTCTTCATTCATAATGGAATTTTCTTTTCTTTCTGGCTGTTTTCAGTAAGTTCTTTCTTCTTTGGCGTTCTGTATTTTTCTTTGATATGGTGGATTATTTTTTATTTACTTTTCTTGTGATTCATTGAGATTCCTCAATCTAAGGATTGGTTTCTTTCATCAGTTTTGGAAAGTAGTTTTTATTTACTATCTTTTTGGAAATTGCTCCTCTCTAATTCTCACTTCTCTTTTTGGAATCCTGATTGAAATTATGTTTGTCCTTCAGTCTCCTAAACTTCTTAATTTCTCTCTTATATTGTTTTCTATCTCTTTATCTTGTGCTGGATTATGAATAATATCTTTAATTCTATCTTTTAGTTCACCAATTTTCTATTTGATTGTATCTAATCATATTTTTAATGTATCCATTGGTTTTAAATTACAATTAAATTACATTTTTTCTTCTTTAGAATTTCTATTTACTTATTTTTCAAATGTTTTTAGTTCTTTTGTTAGTTGCATATCATTTACTCATATTTTCAATGCTGACTTTTATTTCTGAAAACACCTATTAATATTTTTTAATTCTGTGTATGATATTTAAAATATGTGTAGATTTTATAGTTCTGATACTGTTTTTTTGTTGTTGTTATTTTGGGTTTTTCGTCTTCTTCTGGTTCTCACTATGGGGCCTTATTTCTTTGCATGTTTTATAATTTTTTGTTTGTCTGAGCTCATGCTTTTAAAAAAATTTTAATTTTGAAGATGTGGGGTACAATTCAGGGTTAGGTATTCAGATGTTCATTATGCAGGTACCCTTGTGGATGAGGTGTGCCGAGCTCATGTTTTGTAGAACTTTGCAGGAATTCTCTGAGACCTAGATTTCACCAAAAGATTTGCATTTGTTTTTTATGGCATCTTGACGGGAATGTCAACTTAGGTTGTGATCAATTTACACCATAATCTTGGCTGGAGAGTTGGGAGCTCCTGGCAGTGTTAACTTGAGTAATTGCAAATTTACATAAAGAACAGTTTTTTGGTTTTTTTTTTGAGTTGGAGTCTCACTGTCACCCAGGCTGGAGTGCAGTGGCATGCTCACAGCCACTGCAGCCTTGACGTGCTGGGCTCAGGTGATCCTTCCACTTTAGCCTTCCAAGTAGCTGGAATTATAGGCACATAACACCATGCTTGGTTAATTTTTTGATTTATTATAGGATGAGGTCTCGCCAAGTTGCCCAGGCTGATCTTGAACCCGTGGGCTCAGGCAATCTTCTCACCTCGACCTTCCAAAGTTTTGGGATCACAGACTTGAGTCACTGTTTCTGGCCATGAACAGTTTATGATTAGGAATTACCAGGGAAGATTTTTTCCCTCTCTAATAGGGCAAAGGTGGAAATAGGTAAATTTTATTTCTGTCCCATTTTTTGGTATGTGTTTATGATGAATTTATAGTCCTTTGACACTGCAGCTTTATGTGACAATCTCCCATTATGCTCAGTATCTTGGGCAACCCCTGACATTTTCTCTTGTTCCCTTGCTGTTTAAAAAAGACCTCAATGTCATTGGCTTTGATTAATTCCTTCAAGGCAAAAGGCAACTTAAGTCCTTAGTTACCTCTCTGGATTCCTATTTTGTTTTGTTTTGGTTTTTTTTTTTTGGTGTCTGATAATTCATTTTCTCTTCATTTCCACGATAAACTTCAAAACAGTTTTTAAGTATTACATAAACTATATTTAGTTGTTTTATCAAGAGGATTTTTGTAGGGTTCATAGTTACATAAATGGCCAATGCCAGAGTCCTTCATGTTTCTTTTTGTAATTTTGCTGAATAGAAATGTATGAATGAACAATTTTATATGTATCATATTGAAGTTTGATTTTTTTCATTTAATTATATACTTTGAAGATCTTTTCAAGTCATATATAGTCTTCTAAATAGCAAGTTCCATAACTCTTAATTGAAGACAATTAGAAAAGCAGAATCAAATATAAGAAGCATTTGATTGAAAGCAACAGTGAAGCAATAAAATAAAGATGAATTATCAGGTCAACTCAAAAAAAGTTTCTGCTGGCTGGCTGAGCCCCTATTGGGATTTTTCATGGAAACTCCATCCAAAGACTTCTTTTTCCTTTCATTTTATTAGCCAACCTAAATTGCAAGGGACATGGGAATTTTGTTCTTTTTAGTTTTTATTTAATTTAATTTTTTTTGAGTTGGGGTCTCACTCTGCCGCCCAGGCTGGAGTGCAGTGGCATAACCGTGGAGGATCATGGCTCACAGTAGCCTTGGCCTCCTGTGCTCAGGAGATCCTTCCACCTCAGCATCCCAAGTAGCTGGGACTATAGGCACGTACCACTATGCCCAGCTAATGCTTTGATTTTTTTGTAGAGACAAGGTTTTGCTATGTTGTCCAGGCTGGTCTCAAACTCCTGGGCTCAAGCAATCCTACTGCCTTGGCCTCCCAAAGTGCTGGGATTACTGATTTTTGCAGTGAAGTTTCTTGCTGATGTCATCTATATTTAGTTTACCTTACTATTCATACTGTCTTTAAAATCACCCAACATTAACTATGCACCCAAATATTTGCTAATTAGATACATGAAGGAATGTGTGATCTTAACTCCTTGCTTTCTAGTGAAAATATAAATATTTCGGCTGTAAGTAACATATTGTTTCTTTCCTCAAGAAGATTACAGCTGCTGGTTTAGATATTCTTAACTTTTTAGGAGAAGACATTATCTATTTCAATGCTTTGATGAAAGTAAAGTATCCTCTCCTTAGAAAAAAATACACATATGAGCCTACACCAAAACTGGCACAGAATTCTAGAAAATTAATGGATATTTGAAGCATCCACTCCTGAAACCCAACTCAGCAAACTTTGCTCCAGCAAGGTCTCAAGCTTGGCATGTTGGCGGTTTGGGCCTATAGATGTGTGCTGAAATCTGTTCCACCAATGTGACCATAGTACTATTAAGATGGTTGCCAACTCTAGATAGAGCGATGCTTCCCTCCAAGAAAGACCCTAGGGTGTGATACCTGTGTGTACACAAGAGCAAAGCATTCATGGTAACTCCTCACTCTGGCTCCTAGAAGCCAGAAGGATATTCTTTTCTTTGACCCTCTTCAGACTGTGTCATACACTTAAGCCTAGAAAACTCAGAATTAGGGTGATCACACATCTTGCCTGGGACAGTCCTGGTGTCCTGATTTACATCTATTGTTCTAGTGTAGTTTTTTGTTTTTTAAAGTCATGGTCTCACTCTGTCACCCATACTGGAGTGCAGTGGCATGATCATAGCTCACTGTAGCCTTGAATTCTTGGGCTCAAGAGATCCTCCCACCTCAGTCTCCCAAAGCACTGGGAATACAGCCATGAGCCACCATGCCTGGCCTTAGTAGAGTTTCTTATAGTGCTTCCCTTCACTTCCAAAAATGTCCAAGTTTGAATAATAAATTACATGATCACCCTACTCGGAATGTGCAGCTCTTGACCAATATCTGATTTATTTCTTGTCAATCATGTAGATTCCGTTGCAGAATCTCCACTGTGTCCTCTAACTTTCCTCTTCCTCGGGTTTTGTCCAGACTCTGATCTGCCTGATCAAGAGCCAAGACTTCTGAGATGCTAGCACCACCAGTCGTATACAGCTCAACTCCTCCAAAGAATCTCCTTCAGGAAATACCCTCTGGTCCAAATTTCCTTCCACCAATGGCCCTAGCAAGGAGTAGAGAGCACAGTCTTCGGGGTTCTCCCTGGGACCATAGCCCAGTTCTACCTGCCCCTGCTGCAGTTGATACGAGCCCTGTGTGTCAGAGCCAGTCAGCACTGCTATCCGAATAACTTTTTGTGGCCTGTCCAGAATCACTGTCAAGTGATTGCCCTTTGAAGCATCAAGGGTAGAGTAGCACTCCTCATTCAGAATATAAGCATATTGCGGAACCACATTCTGCAGCGATACCATGTCAGTGAGGACACTGGCAACAGGGTTATCTGGTTCACCAAAGACTGTGTCCTTCTCCATAGGAAAGCATATGTCCCCAAACACAGAATAATTGCCCATGTGGTGGAAGACAGAGGGATTGAAGCGAATTGGAATATTTTGGCCCAAGAGAAGATGAAATTCAGAGAGAAGCAAGTGAACAGGAGTGTCCTGATGGAAGAGGAGGAAAAAAGAGGCAAGGCGGGAGAGGTCACTCGAGTGGAAAACTTTCCCGGAGGCACTCAGGCTGGAAAACTCCAAGGTCACCCAAAATAGTTCTTTCCAGGCTGATAATGCTGAAGAGATGGCAGCAACAAATTTGGGAGTGCAGTGAACATTATCTTCCACCAACAGAAAGTAATCAGAAAGGTTGCTAGCAAAGTTCATGAGGAGGGCATAGTCTGCTTTCTGCCTGGAGTGAAGTGCTTCACAGGGTGAGGAGTGATTCATGTTGCCCAGACCTCCTGAGAGAGGGGAGTCCCCGAGCACACCACGGATCACCAGTAGCTTCCCGGCCTCAATATATGGTGCGAAGAGGCCTGAGATATTGGCAGCTGTTTGGCTGAGCCATTCGGGGTCAGGACCTGACAGGTGAACCAGCACCACGATGTACTTCAGCTCATGTTCTGAGGAAGCCTGGAACACGGACTGCAGAGTCTCCAAGAGGAAGGTCCCACCAGGCTGTTGCATGGAGGAAATCCCCACTGTGAGCAGTTCTGGGGAAACACAGGGAACAGCAGCTCTTAGGATGGTGAAGAGTTCCTAGGACTCTCCTCCCAGGTCTCCCCTTATGCCAATACCTGTGACCATTCACATTTCTTTCCCCCGGGAATACAGAGGAGAGGTTACTCTCTGATCAGAGTTGTGACGTGGTTTCACTAGAACAATACTTTGAAAGACTGTTGGAAGAAGCTTTCAGAAGGACAAGGCTCTCTCTTATGGGAAAGGCCTCCAGGTACCAAAGGCAAATTTGTTGGCTTGGCAAGCTATTTTAGACTGGCCTTGACCTTCAGCATTATCTCAGCTATCAGGGATCAACCAGACCTGGACTAGAGGACCTCAGGGACCTATGTGAGCCTAAGGGGCCGGCAGTCTAGTGAACTCAGACCCGAAGTCCACAGCACCCTCTTTTCCCTCTACCCAGTGCTTTTCCCATGGCTCTCCCTGGCTTCTCTCCCATCCTATCTTCCCCTATCTGGGGACCGCCATGGATGAGCTTCTTTGTGGGATGGCTCCTTCACAGGGTCACAGTGGCTGTCTTATCCTCTTGGTCATTCAAGAGGGACCAGGCGGAAGGAAGACGCACTCAGGATTATAAGCTGTGCAAGTTCTATAGCATGGCTCCCCTCAGAGCTCCCTTCTTTCCTTACCAGATGCCAACTATTTCCCCATTTGGCTCATGTCCCTTTTTTGTTGTGAAAATACTTTGTCTGATCTTCCTCCAGGCTGACTGTTCCCTCCTAGGTACTCACTCTTTTCCTGGGGAGGGACTCCAGCCAGGAATTTGTAGTTGGCATGCTGGAATAAAGGGGAATCTTTCTGCATCTCCTTGAAGGTTCTCAGGTGGTTCTTGATTTCAGAGCTGATTTGCTCCTGAACTGATTGCCAAAAGATGTTCTTCTTTTCATTCTGAGGATAAGACATGTATCAGCACAAATATTTACCCCAGATTCTCTGGAGCCCATTGAGGAGCAATTGTTCCCTTCTAAGGCAAGCCCCAGCATCCAGTCACCAGGGAGGCTGAGTGTCAGGGCTGAGTTACCTGCTCTCCACCTGTTGTGAGAACAGACAGGGCTTTCCAGTAGGAGCCGTGGGGCCTGAGTCAGGAAAGTGGGGCTCCCACATTTGCATAGAATGTCGTTGGGAAGGTCCCAGGTGTATGTAGAATAAGCACTAGCCTGTCCCCACCATGCCCCACATCTGCTTTCTCCTACCATTATCAGGCTGCCAAATGTTGTCTAACTCGTCTTAGGCCTGTGCTGGGTTATGTGAGATGTAATGAAGCCCAGTGCCTGGACCTATCCTTAAGAAACACGCACCCAGTTCCTGAATTCTGACATCCTTTCTTCTCTCAAATCTGACCACGCACACATTTCAGAACCACTTCCCCACATCTACTCTCTGCATTGCTCCTGCTAGTCTAAGATGTTTCAGAAAAATGTAGGCCCAAAGCCTTAGGAGGACCTGTATAGAATTTGGTCTTCTTACTTGCAGATGTTGTCCATGTGGGGAAGTTGCTTTAAACCCCTTCAGGTGAGAAATGAGAAGAATAACATCTCCCATATCAGGCCTTGGTTGGGAAGTGGCGAGCGCCCAGGTGGGCCTCATTGCCTGGTGGTCCTGCCAGTCAACCTGGTCCTCTAAAGCTTATGGTGGTGCCTTGCCCTCTCCACACTTAGAATAGGTCTTTGCCTCCCTGCTCCTAGTCAAACCCCACCCATTTTTCAAGGCTGGATCAGACTTTCTTTGACACTTTCCTGATTTTTCAAGTGTTCTATTCTTTCTTTAATTAATTAATTAAATTTAATTAATTAATTAATTTTTTGAGTTGGAGTCTCACTCTGTCACCCAGACTGGAGTGCAGTGGCCGCTCCCGGCCACCGCAGCCTCGATCTGCTGGGCTCCAGCGATCCTTCCGCCTCAGCCTTCCGAGTAGCCGGAATTACAGACGTGCACTACCACGCCTGGCTGATTTTTTTATTTTATTGTAGAGATGAGGTCTTGCCTGCCGAGGCGGATTTCAAACCCGCGGGCTCAGGCAATCCACTCACCTCAGCCTCCCAAAGACGCGGATTACAGGCTGAGCCACCGAGCCCGGGTAATTTATTTAATTTTAAAGATGTGGGATACAATTCAGGGTTAGGTATACAAATGTTCATTTTGCAGGTACCCTTGCTGATGAGGTATGCCCCTCCCTCCCCTGGCAGTTTCCCACTACTGCCAATTTCTTTCTTATAGTATTATGATGACTGTTCAAGATTTGCTTATGAGTGAGAACATATGGAACTCTGTTCTTTGTTTCTGTGATAGATCACTGAGTATGATAGACTCTAAGTCCATTCAAGTTGCTGCAAAGTCCTACCTTATGGCTGCATAATATTTCATTGTGTATATGCACCACATTTTAAAAATCCAGTCTAGCTTTGATGGGCAGCATGGTTGATTCCATGTTTTTGCTATTGTGAATAGAGCTGCAACAAATATGTGGGTGCAGGTGTCTTTTTTGTAGAATGATTTGAGTTCCTCTGGGTATATTCCTAATAACAGGATTGCTGGATTATAAGGAAGGTCAATTTCTAGTTCTTTCAGAAATCACCCAGGAAGTTCTATTCTTAGAACTTCTATGATGAGACTAGAATGCTTCACATAATTGGGAAAGTTTCCTCCTACTGAAGGTTGACAAATGGTCCAGTCTCAATCTCTGGTACTCACCAATGGTATACGGTAATCATCATGCTCTTCTTTATTCTCTTGGAGGATGAAGCCCAGGACAACCAAGGACACAGTAACCATGACATATTTCCATAAGCAATCATGCATGGTGCCAGGGCCAAGTGCAGCTCTGAAAATAAATGTAAGCTGGTTATGGATCCTGACTGCCCCTGCTCAGCGAGCAGAGAGATATTCTCCTCTTGCCTGGAAGCTGGCCACTTCCTTTCACCTATCCCTCTTCCTGGACACCACTGCTTGTTTTCCTAACCTTTCCCTCCCAAATGCTCCCTAAGGAAAGACAGAGATCAAGGATTTGGTTCTATTCAGCCTCTACCTTCTTTACCATTTCCCTAGGTTTCCAGGTGAAACTGGAGGAGCTGCCTTCATTTATCCACCCTTGAAGTAGAGACCCAACCAGAGTGAGTGTGTTGCCAAGTAAAAGAAATCAAGTCGTTGATTATGTTCTTACCTGAACTTCATATTCTAGCCAAAGACTCCTCTTGGATTTTATCGACCAATACATTGGGTCTCATCTATTAACTTCACTTTTACTTTTGCGTCTGATTCTTTCCAGGATTATGCTAGGCAGATATTTGAGGTTTTGATTAGAATCAGAAGGACTGAGGAAAATGCTTGTTGGTATGTCTTCTTCACACTGAACTGGCAAGAAGGATGGAAACCAGGAATGTCTAATCTCTAAACATGGCAAAGAACTATATCCACTGAAGTCTTTTTGTCTAACAGAAAATATGGCTTGAGGGTTTATCAGAACAGGGATTTCTCTGAAATCAAGAAGAAAAAAACTTTAATGAAGGATGGGCCCCAGAGTCTCAGAGGGCTCTTCTGAGGTAGCTGAAACCAGTCACCCCTTCCAGGAGACCCCGCCTGACAACCATTGTTCACCCAGAATGGGGGGCTGCTCACTACTCTGGCCTTACATCAAGCACCTGTTTCTGGGTGAGGTGGGGATACAGTTTCAAAATCAACTTTTCAGTCTTTAATGGCAAATCCAGAAATTTGGAAATTAACTGTCTGTTTGAGTCAAATGGACAAGGGTGGCTTTTGAGCAATCCCTTCCCCTATTAGAAGGCCCATGGATGACTCACCACTGCCATGCACACTCCCTTCCCCACGCTGCTGCCACATCATGCTGCCAGGGGAGCCTCTTGTTACCACAAATTGGTCCTCAAATCTCTGGTTCTTTCTTGGGCCCACAACTGCCCAGTGGGTCGCTGAAGTTTCCTTTTCTTCTCTTTATCTATCCTTTTTTTTATCACTGAGAGTGTATTTCTAGTTCTTCCTCCTTATAATTTTAAGAGTGTTGCTTTGACAAGGCCATGTATTTAAAAACTATAGGCTCCTACCAAGGCATAACTTCTTTGAATTAAAACTTTTTTCCTCCCCCTCTTCTGCTCTTTGACTCTTCTTCCATTTTTTCTCCTCTTTTTCCCTTTTTTTCTCTTCTAGGAACCAATCAACCAGCTAACAAACAACTATTACAAGGTTTACTTTAAAGTTAAGGTAAAGAAGATCAAGAACAATTTTTTGCATTGTGATTATAATTATATATAAATTTTATATAAGATCAATTTATTTCTTTCTCTTATGGTCAGTCATTTTTTGTTCTATTTAAGAAATATCTAACCAAGCACTGTGGCATGTTCCTCCTGTAGTTCCAGCTACTAGGGAGGCAGAAGCAGAAGGATCACCTGAGCCCAGGAGGTTGAGACTGTGGTGAGCTGTGATTGTGCCACTGCACTTTAGCCTGGACAACAGAATAAGACCTTGACTCAAAAAAAGAAAAATAAATAAATAATTATTTAATTTAATTTATTTTTTGAGTGTTTTAATTGCCAATCCTACTTTTCTATAAAGCTATTACTCTGAGGAGGACATCTTTCTGCCCACTGTTGGACATTATGGACTGTACAGTGTGTTCCTTACTCTGAAGAAAT